AAGAATGTTTAGAAGACATTTAAAAGACATTCAAAATAATAAATTTAGAACGTAACTTTTAAAAATAAAATGCCCGCTGGGAACTTATATAATAACGAAACGAGTTTGGAAATGAAAATAATTTGTTTGGAAAGTTTACCGCCTCTGTTTTTTAATTGTTTACGCATTCTAATTGGAATAAATTATTTCTTCAAGATGGCCGAATAAGTCCCGAGTATTTAAAAAAAAAACAATACTAAATACCGAAAACAGTTTTTTGAATAAGGCTAAAAGTTATGATTATTTATGCAAAAACTGCTTTTGTAGAAAAATTAGCACTACCATAGTTTATCTGAATCTAACGTGACATAATTGTTAAACATACTAATTTAGGTGTAATATTGAAAATAATAATTTTAATTTTCATTAAAAAAAAATGGTTTTTCATGGATGAGTTTCAAAAATAATGTCTGGTTATAAAAGTCACGTTACATTCATTGAAAAAAAACACCATTACGTACTTTTATGAAAAAATCAAATCCAAAGACTTATCTATAGCCAAACCCTATATTATATTATCTATAGCCAAACCCTATATACCCAAAATTATATCTTTTCTAAATAAAACTACGCTTGACGATATGTTATAGCCGCATTACTTTTACTAGATTATAATAGTGGTTAAAATAATCTTTCCATACGACAAATATGACAAATATGTCATGTTTTTTGAAGAAAAAACTCACATATTTTGTGATTGAAAAAACTTATATTTTTGTTCGGAAAAACGTTTACCATGCCTTAGTTGCATTGAGTACCGAAACTTCTCATATACGTTTATTAAAAGTCGATTAAACGTTTACAATACTGACTAACTTAAGTCATAATTGTATGCGTTTAGTATACGTTTAATAAACGTATACATAAAGAAAATTTAAACGTACATTATAAAACTATTATTCTGTACGTTTATTTAATGTTAATTAAACGTTTAGAACATTAACTAACATAAGTCAATATTGCAAACGTTTAAAAAGGGTATACATCAAAAAGATTAAAGCGTACGTTTCACTTCTTTTATATTGATTGATAGTATGTCAATATTCAGTGCCGGATCAAGGAGGGGGCTATAGCTCCGGGCCCCGCAAATTTAGAGGCCCCAAAAATTTTAGAGAATCTTTTCTTTTTTTTTTAATCATTTTCAGACTCTGCTCCATAAATACGCCTCCAAAGCAAAAATAGCCCCGGACCCCAAGAAGTCTTAATCCGCCACTGCCAATATTGTAAACCTTTTACATCGTTTAGTATATATGTATACATTAAAAGGGTTAAAGAATATACCAAACTTTAATTGTATATATAAAGCATAAACCATATTGTTTGTAAAAAAATTGTTGCACCACAAATAATCTTGTGACATTTTTTGCTATAGATCAATGAGAACCAATAATTAGGCAAACTTTTAGAATAAATCTCTAATATGATATACTCGACTACTTAAATAATCATTAAGATATAACTCAGTATTCAATTAATTTCACATCCATACATCCAGTGCAATATCCGCTTTCTCTGCAAAATCTTTCTAACTCAACTTCTTCTGACTTTCAGTCTACTGTACTTTATTCTTCTTAAACTCACTTACTCTTGGTCCACCAAAGCAGGTTATGATGCTCTTTAGTGAGCTAAATTTGTCTTTGCGGGGGTATGTGGCCTTTGTATGACGATTAGTCGGAAGAGGATTAAATATAATACAATAAATTAGCTTCATTTTATTGCTTTATAAAATATTATAAAATGCTCAACAAATTAAAATAATCTCTTTAAAATTATTGAAAAAGTCTTTGAAATACTTAAGAAATACTTAAGACTTTGAAATACTCTAGTGCAGTGTCGCTTTCTTTATGCTATCTTTCTTTCCGCTTTTTCTACCCGCTTTCTTTTCGATTACTTCTATGACTCTTAATTACTTTGTTCGTCATAATACTCACTTTTTCTGGGTACTTCAAAGCGGGTTATGATGCTCTTTAGTGAGCTGAACTTGTCTTCGTGAGCCTTGGTATGTGGTCTCCATATGACAATTAGCCAGAGGAGGTTAAACCACAAATATGCTTTATTATATTATATTATCATAACCGCATCTTATAATAGTGTATATATATTATACGTATCAACATAATATATACATATAGTTTATTTTAATATTTATGCTGGATTTCATTCTGTCCAGCTGGCGTCTCAAGTTTGTAGGGCGTCCTTAAAACGTCCATCGGACGTTCCGTGCCCGCTGGGTGAACGGATAATCAACCAAAACTAAGCGTTTTGTCTAAACGTTGTTTTGATGTTTAATAGACGTTCATGTATTTATTGGGATGAGTCAAAAAGCGCTAATCCATAAAAAACCGCATACTGAAATTTTATTTCAAAGAAGTACCAAGCTTTATTAACTGGCAAAAAAAGTATATGAGGCTATAGTGTTTATAAGAGGAACAAAAGTGTGAAAATCTAGTTCATAATCGATGTATAAACTGATGATCAATGTGGCTCACACGAGGAATACAAAATGTAGTCCACATTGTTATCCCATTTTATGTAATAAATCTTTAATTAATCACGTGGATAAACTAGATGTTGGTATTACATGAGCCATACATATAAAACACATAATCGTGGCGCATTTTTAATTTTAACCACATTTTAAATTATAAAAATAGTAAATTGCGATTTCATTGTGGAATTACAAATTACTATTTTTATAAGTATTATAGTCACGCATAAACCACACGATCTCAGCCATAAAGAGTTTTACAATTATGATCAATGTGCAATGGCTATGACCAACATTAAAATTTCCTCTTAGGTAGGTAGTAAAACGTTTAAATAGAATACAATAATATTAAAACATTTATATAACCTTAACTCTACTCATTTCTATTAATCTAAACCAATCAGGATTGGAAATTACCACAAAAAAGTGATTTTCATTATGATAGATTGGTGCTCCATTTATTCATTATGATAGATTGGCGCTCCATTTATTCATTATGATAGATTGGCGCTCCATTTATTCATTATGATAGATTGGCGCTCCATCTATTCATTATGATAGATTGGCGCTCCATTTATTCATTATGATAGATTGACGCTCTATTTATTCATTATGATAGATTGGCGCTCCATTTATTCATTATGATAGATTAACGCTCCATTTATTCATTATGATAGATTGGCGCTTTATTCACAGATAGCCCTAAACATAGAGAGTTAAAAAAAAAATTGATTTTTATTATGATATATGGGTGTTTTATAATATAGCATCTTTTACTTTACCCGTCTTAGTTAGCAGAAGTAAATAAAAAGTTGAATATCAAGATAGGTTGTTAACCAGTTTGAATAATTAGTTTTATATCATTGTAAATTTTTTACTGCCATCAGCAGGTTTCAAATGGTAAATGACCGCCGTTCAGCTGTTATATACCGTTAAAGAAAAGTAACAAAATAAAACTGTTTGAACAAACAAACCTTAAACAATGCAATACAATTGTTTAACATGAAAAGTATGAAAGCAATTTTTTTTTAAATCTGAACAAATGTTGCATTTTTTGAAAAAAAAAACAAAAACACTTTGCAATTCCCAACCTTCAATAACCGACAGTTTCAAAATTTCAAAGTTTCAAAACAAGCTAAATATCTCTATTTCGTAAAAGGATTTTGCTTCAGTGGTATCACTTTGTTAAATAATTTTTTTTTTAGATTGCAAACTGGTATTAGGCTTTTTAAAAGTTACCATCTCAATTCTTTTTTTTTCTATGGCCTGGAATGATGTTAAAAAAACAAAACCTTGTTAATAAATAAATGGTTTATTTAATTAATATATATATGGCAGGGCCGACGACACGGGTTTTGAAATGGAGGGGGGGGGAGGGCCACAACCATCAATATGTGAAAAAAGTCCTCTATATCAAGATTTTTCTTTAAAAAAATAAATAAAAAAAAAAAAGGTCCTTTACAAAAAAAGTGAGGGAAAGTGCCCCCTGACCCCCCGGTGTTGTCGGCCCTGAATGGTTTAGTAAATAATGGTTTACCGAAAAAAAGCTTTCTTAGGTAAACAAATATCAAAAGCGAAATTGTTTTCAAGAAGAGGTATGAGTCATATGTCATACACATTCTTGAGAGTTTCATTAGCTTTTCTTATATGCTAGCAAAAAAGAAATCTAGGCTGTTTTAAGGCATTAATAGTAGTCGAAAATAAAGAACAACATTCTAATTAGAAAAATTATTCCGAGGCAATACATAACCACACTCTCACGTTTATAAAGAATGGTGACTTTTATTGAAGAAACTTAACACTCAAAATAATTACATATTATAAATGTAATTATTTTGAGTGTATATTTCAATAAACAATAATTATTATTATAATAAATAATAGCGCATCAAATAATAGTATATATACCCATACTTGACTCAATGTTTTATGAAAATAAATGAATATATAAAGAAACTTCAAATTTTAAACCCTAATATATACTCATTAAATAATATACTACCTAAATAGTATAATATATGACAATTACCCGTTGGAGGATAAACAATAAAAAATAAAAAAAATAAAAAAACCACAATAAATAAATAATATAGTATCTAAAATATATATAACATAAATAATTATTATCCCTTTTAAACTTTTTTAAACTTTTCAAAATTATTTAACAATTCTAAAATATCTGCTTAAAATTAATACCTTTAAGTACAATTACCCGCAAAGTTTTAGTTTAAGGTATAATTTTTCAATTTTTAGATATTTACCAGATAAATGTATTTTTATTAAATTGCTTGTTGTTTGCAATACCATTTTTGTATGTGACATTCATGTTGCAATAGTTCCCTCTAAAGGCAATAACTGTAAAGCCTCAAATTAATAACTTTTAAGTTTTAATAACCACAAAACAAAACAAAAAAAAAACTTGTTGATGTAATACTGAAGTTAATGATTAAAAATAAACAAATTTTTACTGCAGGTTGTTTCTGACCTCCGAATCAGTTTTGCAAATGGTAAGTTGAAAAGCTATGAAGTTAGATGTTATCAGCTATCACAACTAAATAAGTTATTGGATGAGAACAATGAAGCAATTTGTGATGCCCTTTGGAAAGATCTCCGAAAAGTAAAAAACTGTTATACACTTTTATTCAACTTTTATTTCAATTGTTTTTAAATAAACATTTAAAAGTTTTATATAAAAGATTGATATATACATTTTTCTGTTAATTACTTGCAGATAATTTTTTTATTTATTTTTTTTTATTTTTTTTTTATCGTTACCTTTTATTTTAGTCTAAACAAGAAGTGAAAATGTTTGAGATACTACCTGTGAAAGCAGAAATTGCAGAAAGTAAAAACTTTAAATTAAAAAAAAAAATTTTAAGGAGTTATTTTTCTAATGTTAATGCTATATATGGTTATTAAATTTTAACTCAATAACTTATCTAATTTTTACTCAAAATACAATCTTATTCACATGTTGATTATTGATACCAACAATCTATTGGCCAAAAACTAGTTAACTTTTTCATAACCATCTTAGCTTAAAGGTTATAATCATATCAGCTTGCTCAGTTTCATGATGCAGCTCCATTAAATGCAGTTAGCGTAGAACTCTTCAACTTTTTAGTTTGTGTGTTAGCGCGTAACTCGAACATTTAGTCTGTATGTTATTCAAAAAATGAGCTTGAAAGTCTTTTTCATTTGTACAAGTTTCTATAGTAACATAAACACATTTAAGCTCTCTTGCTTTGTAGCACGTCTCTCGGATTGCTTTTGATTAACTGCTTTAAACGTTCCAAATCTAATTTTATTGGTCTGCCGGATCTAATTGGTCTTTACTGTCGATTTAGATTTGCATCTAATTGTATTGTATTTAATAATTTAATTGTATACACTTTCTGTGGCTTTGGCTTATGAGTGGCTCGACAGAAACTCATGAAGCAATAAAAAATAAGTTATTGTGAACGTACCAACACTTTCAATAAAATCTGTAAATTAAAGCACTCATTGTAAATAAAAATCGACAAAAGTTTAAACGTAGCTTTTTTCATCAAAGATTTGTACATTGCAGAGCCGTTGCTAGGCCCCCATACCCCCAATGGGTAAAGGGAAGCGAATTTAGGGGGCCTACTTTCAAATTTAGGGGTCCTTTTGCAAATGTTAGGAGTTTTTTTTATTTTTTTATTTTTTAAGTAATACTAAATGGAAAATTTTTTTTCAAGATTATGAGCCTTTATGACAGGTTTTAGGAGTGGGTCTCGGACCCAGTAAAACCACGGCACTGGTGCATTGTCATATCAAGGTTGTAAGGTTGTGGTGAGAATATGGATTACGAGTCACCATCTATGAACTTGTTTTTGTTTCATGAAAGCTTTAAATTTAATTTTTATTAGATTTATTTTAAAATTATTTCAAACTATCAGCTGGTTATCTATATATGTGTAAAACTAACAAAAGTAATATGATCTTTTTTTGGCATTATTTTTTAGCATAATAACTGCATAATGTTTTAATAACAATGA